GTATATCCGGGGAATCCACACTGGAATCTCATTCTAGTGCAGGCAATACCAAAATCGAAGAGAGCCCGCTTTTCAAGAATCCGTGTGCTCCAAAATGTATCGAGAGCATCGACGTCGACGATCTTGATCGTTTGTCRGCAGCTGATTTACTTTGGAAGGAAAYAGATGGACAWATCGCAGGAGAGAAWACTCTGGAGATGGGAAATGATCAATCAAMGTCATCCAAGTCTGATGAAACCCAGAAAAAAGAGAAACAAAAAAAGACAAGGAGCGCTGGTGATGACACCAGGACGACTAGTAGCGGCGTGACACGTCCTACCGAAAAGAAAACAAAGAATCGAGACCCGAAGAAAGCTTCGAGAAACACGATCCATRAAGAAACAAAAGGACCTGACGGGGGAGTCAGTCTATGGATCAATCCGTTAGAAATGGACTTTGTGAGTCCTCKAGCAGYTCGGGGTAAGAAGAAAGCTGGAAGACCGAAAAAGCCACGATCACGAACAAATATCAAGAAAAGGGGAGATGTATAGCAGTTTTTAGTAATGCATGTRCATAAAGACCAGATCGATTTAGGTTGTGTTTAATCGGTGTKCCATAGCCGGTTCCAAGCTCAATGTTCTGGAGAAAATCACAGCGGAGGAAACGGGGGAAACGTTCTGTTTATGTATTAASCTATCGAATAGATTAGACCACTATGTGRCGTTTCCAAAGTAGTTTTGTAGTTGGGTACGAGCCAAGCGAGCAATATAGGTTCCTGTCGATGCTTCAACGTACATCCACTGCGCAGTGTGGGAGTGAGAGGSTCTTTTCTAAACTACCCACAGCCTGCATATTCTGTTCTACGAATCCCGTCATTTAAGCGGATCCTAAAGCAGCGTTAATGCATCGATCTTTTTTCCGACGAAAGTTGTACTTGATTTCATGTCAACATGTAATTTCCGCTTACTCTCACAAATCTCACAAACTAAGTTCGTTGATTGAGATGAGAATTACAGGACAGAATTTTTTCTTCATTCTGAATCTCCCCACAAAGATACAGTTTTCTCATTTATGTTACGGTGTTTGGGAAAAAATAAGGTGCTCCTGAAAAAATAAGGTGCTCCTACGTTTGCATACTCGTACCATTTTTTGCCCCCCCATAAAAATTTTCTGTACTGCACGATACGTCATCCGATGTTGTATCAAAAAGATTTCCTTCGAAGGAAAGGTCAACTCAAATGTCAACAAACCGATACATAATGTACAGTACSAAGTGCTTATCAGAAATACAACTTTGCAACGGTGTCGTCGACAACAACGAAGTCAACACAGTCGGAGTATATGTTTTGYGTAYGATAGCAGGCAAACTATTGCGAAGGCAAGAAGCGAAGCAATAACATACTYAACATYGAGGTCCGGTAATCTACGCACATCCCATARAGATTTGMGTGGAAGGAAATCTAGAAGCAATAAGAATATTATTTTCTRTTGCACAWCATCACACGAGACAAAAAAATCTCGAAGACGRGCCACCAACTGGTTACGTATCATAAYATAGCACATYGTCGGCTCCCATCGCATCGGCACCTACACATATCTATTCAGCTCAAGTGCCACYCTCTTGTGTTGGTGCGATGAAACACCAACGAGAACRAGAACAAGAACACTTCCAACAACAACAASAAGAACCGCATCCGAGCCGGCCTGGAGAAGGAAACAACGATTGCTGYAATTACGATCGATCGATGATTATCAATAAGGGTACGAGTGTGCAGGATAATTCGATTGGAAGACCAATTGYTTCGGCAGGTAGCATGGCACCGGCAAGGACCCTTCGCCGCCGTAATTTCGGCCATGGCGGTTTCGCCCGGTGGTCTTYGGCAGTGGTGGTGGCTTTCGTKCTGGCGGCATCCGCACCTCCAGTGGCGGAGGCGAGGCCCACACCGCTTTTCCACGGATCGCCCGTCCACCGGATCGCTCCGGCGCAKAGGCGCGTGTCGCTGTGGTTCCCGCATCCCACCGAACACCACCGGCAGCCGCCGCCTCCATCGCTTTGGTCGCCGGACCGCCTCGTTGCACCGGCCCGTGCGTTTGCGGAACGGGTCCGCTCGAGGGTGTCCGATCTCGGTCCCCGCGACGTTTTTCGGGGGTTGGTGAGAATGGCCCGGGCCTGGGTCTTTTGGTACTTTTCCAAGGACTGCATGGACAGCATCTACGAGGACCGGTGGCACGCCGAGCGGGACYCCGAGGACTTTTTCGGGAGCGGGGGAATGTGGATCTCGAGGGGCGCCCACAAAAACGTCGTGAAGAGGCGCATCCAGCGGTCCAAGCGGAACCGGCAATGGGTCGGGCTCGGATACACACCGCGGTGAGTTGGATTCGTTCGGTGTGTAGCTATTCGTTGCAGAAGTGTATGCTGTAGCAACCTTTTTTTTCTCCAAGTAGGAGAAAAKAGCACGTTTCTGTTATTCGTTGAATACAACTAATAAAGTTCGATTCYATTCRTATTGTTCACCCTTGCTGTTTATGAACCCTCCGTTGTTTCGTTCTCGTTGGTTCTGCATAAAACGACGTTCCGATCGACGATCCAAAACCACGATGCGCAACGCCCGACCCCAACGAACGCAAATGCCCTGCCCACGCACAATGCAATGCAATACAATATAATACAACACAATGCAACACAACACAACACGACACCACACACGCACCGGACGCTTGTCTTGGTYTCTCCAGCCTCGTGTGGCTCGTCGGTGTCCTCCTCCGCGGGACCTTCCAGTGCACGTCAATCCCCAAGGTCTTCAACCCCAGGCTGACCGGGTGGGGGGCCGGGACGGTCCTTGGTGCCAAGTGCACCCACCAGGAATGGATCKCCGCCTTTATGCTGGGCTGGTTCGGCACCGAACACTACTGGAAGTTCCTCTTTGGGTGCGACGGACCGCCACAYCCCGGGAGGGACGGCTTCGACGGGGTCCCCATCACCATCAACAAGGTGCGGCTCTTTTAGAGGGAACCGAACAATGTTGCCCGTTTCGGACCGAAAGAGCAAGCACCGCACCGCACCGCACCCGATGCCCGTTGGGCAAACACCAGCGAACCGGACCAGACCGGAAGCAGCGGCCGCGCCGAACGGATCCGCTCCACCAAACGAAACTGACAGCCAATTTGAATTATTGTGTGTGGAGCGATTCGATTCGATTCGATTCGATCCGAACCCGACCGAGAGAAAAAACACCGAGTGCATCTACGAAAATCGCCAATGCCTACAAGAAAGAACGAACGCTCCCAAGTTTTGTTTTAGCGGTTGCGGATGGAGAAATGGATCTTTGTGTTTTGCGCAGTGCGCTAGCATGTTTGTTGCTACTACTAATATATTGTTACATAACCCACATTTCGTGTGAACTAAGCGGGCRATATTTTGKTCACACCCGATTGATGGTCGAACAAATGGTGAGCAGCGTGTTCTCGATCGAGCAAAACACGCCGTCCCCTCTGTTGTGGACCGCCCTGAAAYTATAGCTGTTGCTGTCGTTGCTGTCTTTGCCGTTTCTGCCCGTTCCCTCCCTATAGATCACCGGTCGTTTGTTAGGCCCCGGTGCCGCCTCCCGAAAGAYGACGACCCCGTCGTCGATGGTTTGGTCTCCGCCCTGCCCCTCTTCCCCGCAGTGGTCCTGGTCCTGGTCCTCGTACGGATAGCAAACAACCCCGCTGTCGGGGTAGGAATCGCAATCGCAGCCGTAGCCCCCGTCACCGGTCCCGGCGCAGAGGCCCGCTCGATCCTCGGAAACAAACCTCCCGGTGGGGATGCGGTCCCGGATGGAGCGGGGGGAATCCGAAGAGGACGGCGGGGGTCCCTCCCCTTGGTCCGGACCGACAAAGGACACCAGGACGGGGGACCGGCCGATCTTGGTGGCGACGGTCTCGATGGCACCCACGACGATCTCCTCGGTGGCCTCGTCGGGKGATTGGTGATCGCACCGTTTGGCCGGCCTCAGGAGGTGGCGCTTGTGCTTGAACCGGTGCTTGTTCCTGGCGCTCTTGACCACCGGCCGCTCCTGGTAGGCGACAATGTCCATCCCGTCTCGAAAGAGTCCTCCCTCGCTGTGGTGGTCGTTGTGGTGGTGGTGGTGGTGATGCTTGTTGTCTGTTTCGTTGGGTTTTTGATCTCTTTCGTGCTGCGGGCCCTTGTGCGATTCGTGTCGGTCGARTGGCATCGGCCCCGCGCCGGAAGGTTGGTGGTTCCGAACACGAGAGGAGGAGGAGGACGACGACGACGAGGAAGAGCATGCATCGGAGCCATCCGGTGTGTGGTTCGAGCCGCGAAACCGGCTGCGTAAGCCGAGGCGGGCGTTGAGTTTCGGCAGCCGGGCCGGGGAACGAATCCATTGTCGTTTGGGCGTGGTTGGTGTGGCCGCTGTTCGCTTGGGCTCTGGCGTTGGTGGGATTTTCAATTTCAATTGCACTGGCAATGTCGGTGTTCTGGAGCGGGTCATCACTCGCGGCGTTGTGGAAGACGCTCTGGAGGGCGATGCCGGCACTCCCTGTGTGTCCAGTGGAGGAGGAACGAGGTGCGGTTGTTCTTCTTCGTCTTGCTGCTGCTGCTGTTGTGGCAACCGATTTGGGGCCGTGTCGTCTCGGCCACTAGAGTGCTGTTGCAACCGGGGCAGACGACCCGACGGCAGCTCGTAGGGCCGCGACAGGTCCCAACGCGGACCACCAACGGGTGGTGGTGACCGAAAGTCCTCCATCGTGTCTTCCGTCCGGTGTTCTGTTCTGTGCCGTGCCGTGCCGTGCCGTTCTGGAGTGTCTGTTTTGGGGTCTGGTGGACAACAAGCTCACGAACCGAATCCCACTGATGCGGTGTTGGTGGTGATTCTTGTGGTTGTTGTTTTTGCTGTTGGTGGTGCTGCTGTTGTTGTTGTAGCTGATGCTGATTCTGCGTTTGTTTGCCGTGCGGAATGGATTCGAGCAGCCCGGTCTGCTTATGTTGCAAAACGACTACGCGACTCTTTGTGCGGTGCAGTGCGGTAGGGTAGGGTAGAGTAGAGTAGGGTTGGGTAGGTACACGAGATGAGATAAGACGAGACCAGCAGCTCCTGCTCTGGAGCATCAGATAGGATGGTGCTGTAGTGTTCTTTCACTGCGGCAGTGTGCTTTTGGTGGAACGATAGTTTAGAGGGAACTTTTGACACGCGCTGCGGTGTGGTAACCCTTATGTGCTTCGAAGCAGACGGATCCTCGTAACCTTTGGACCAGCTGCTCGATCAAAAATCGATTGTATTTGGCTACACGATGCGAAGATCGAAGTACGCGGAACAGATTCATCCATTCTTTTCTCGAAGTACGGTAGAAATCAAAAACCATCGGGGTCGTTTTGCGGTAACATCATATCTTCCGGTTCGTTTCGTTCCCGCCAAGGAGCCGGATGGACGGGATTCGTCCCTCGATCCTATTCGCGCAGACCGAAACCAAACTACGCGCAACAGGCACGTGACGCGGGACGAGACGGTTCAAAATCACGATTACATAGGCGAATCTTGAGAACGTCTCCGTCGAACCGCTCGAACGAGGGTTCGAACCGAGGAATTCGGGCTTTCAAACCTTGTCGGGGGCATAGATATACCACCGAAATACCCACAATTTCCGTGTTGGCAATCCGATGGCTTCGTTACGGGACTAGTAGAATTTTTAAGAGCGGTAGAAGAAAAACACAACGGAAACCTTTACAGAAACACAACGGTAATCGTACGTTTCGTAATTCCCTTAAATAGTTTTTAAGGATTTGAGTTCGGAGTTTGTCGTTACTTCTTGACATCTTTTCTCGCCGTTCGTGACTTCAAGATTTTGAACCTACATACCGTATGGTATGATTGATCTGTATATGCCATACCATACCATATGTATGGCCCTCTTGACACTCGACAGCTGCTCCTMAAAAATACCATTATGTCTCTGAAATACCGGACTTTTGTTACGATGAAATACATGGAATACAAGTACAAGTACGTACCTTACGTACATTTATTTTCATCGCAAGGATTCACGTACCGGTATGCATCTGATAACCACGGTAACGTGGGGGTTCTCGTATGTTGTCCGGCACTATGATGGTCGTAAGGTAGCTTCCTTGACGATAGGGGAACCTCTGTGCGGTACATCGAGAAGATTCTTTTGTGATGACTTGTGACTGGTGACCCTGTTGAAGATGCCTTCCGATTTGTGGATTAGGGTTCACTAATTTCGCAGATCACATTGCACGCCGAAAGCTTCTTGTTGTTATTCTGGTGATTGTTACCAAGCACACGTTCGTAGTGCGCATGGATRTTCTTGAACATCACGAGTGGCCGTCGGCGATGGAGCAGACGRCCGGYCGGACACAGGTCTTGAACACTTGYCCCGGAGTACAGGGTTCGTTTCGGAGTGTACAACACAAACTGTGAAGCCAACTGTGCAACCTGTCTTTGGGGAGAGACGACATTTCGAAGCCTTTGTGGGAATGCGGATCTCGTCCAGGAGTTTACGAGTCTTCAACATGCGTGTTTGACCTGTCGGTGAAGGCAGACGATAGGCCACACACACACACACATTTGGAAGCCTTGTACCGGAGTGCATGCTTTGTTTCGGAGCGTGTTGCGTTGTGCCTTGCGCACTGCAGCAGACAAATCCATTGGAGGCACGGGATTGCATCAAACGGCTGGGACACGGCTCCGAATGCCGTGCATCGAGTGTTGTGGAGGGGAGTGGGACTCGGTCCACGAGCAGCAGCAATGGCTGGGACGGTGGTTCGCTGGGCAACGGACGAGACCGGTGGGGGGGGGGAAAGACCGTGCGGGGTTCGCGGGTGAACGGCACCGAAACGCTTGCGTACACCGTCGAGATCCGTCCATGGTGGACGCCATTGTTAAACCCGCACTTCCAGAGAATTCTTCTGTTGTTTGTTCCAACGTAAAAGGAAAGCATACCTGAAAGTTTTGTCGTATGAATATCTTCTCTACTATGAATCCGTCGAAGTTGACGCACATAATATCACTACTATTATAATATTAGCATTCGTATGTCATTGCGTAATCCACTTATGAAACACAACTAATCTTTCTTTCGTTCGTGTATTGGGAACGATGCCACAAAGTTGAAGATTGAAACTACAATGTTGTACCATGACTTTTGACGGGACTCGCCTGAATACGATATCTGAGGGATGAATTGGATTCGATGCGTTTTGTTGCAAGGAGACTGAGTGTGTCGGTGTCCTGTGCTGTTTTGTTGTATGATTCGCACAACACGAAAGAAGAAACGAACAAACGAACACCATACAATCTCTCGGGTATTTTTTGAACCGCTCGGTGATGTTGCGAGCAATCGTCTCGGCCCAACAACTCGAACATCGACCAGCCAAATGGTTCCATTGGCGGGCT